GTGTCTTGCCCAAGGACACAACGACAGCAGTCATCAGTGGGAGTCGGTGGAGAAGATGTAGAGGTGGGAAATGAACCCACGACCTTCTGGGCTTAAGGCCAATGCTCTACCAACTGAGCTACTGTCGCCCCCATTGATTATGTTGCGGGTCATTTTGACCCGTACTCTGTAAATGCACTCAAAACAGTCAAGAAAACAGGTTAAACCAATAACAACTTTATTTTAGGTTATATACATATTTAGAAAAGTGACATACAATACATTTTTAATTCCAACGCTATATTTAAGACATATTTAGTCTAATCTTCTTGTCCTCCTCTCGGGTCAAAATGACAATTCTTCCCTCCTTCTTTCCTCCTGCCATGCTTTCTCCTTCCTTCTTCTCATCCTGTTTTCCTTCTCTTTTCCCTTCGTTTCTCTTCCTTCCTACCTTCCTTCCTCTTTCACTGACCAAAGAATTGTCCTCTGAATCCTCATTATCGTAGGAAAATCTGGATCAGCAATAACATTGTCCTCTGTCTCTGAAAAATCCTCTGTTTCTGAAATCTCTTACTCTACATCATTATCCCAGTTAAAAATCTGTGATAAAGCCTCCTCAGATGTCGTCATCCTTCTGGAGCTCATTTTTGGGGAGTTTGTATAAAGCCTAGCGCACATCGACAGAGTAACTGGAGACAACTAGCTTTTGGCAACTGAGAGTAGATGATCAGTTGCCGAAATCGGTCGATGTGAGCGCTCTTACAACTGGAGATGAACAGTCGATCTCCAGTTTCAGTCAGTTGCCCGTGTTCTACTTTTCGGAAACTAGTTGTCCTCAGATCCGGAGATATCACCCGATGTGCACGCTCCAACAACATGTGTGTATTGCGTGTATTGCGCCCTCTCCAGTTTATGTCAGAAAACACACTGTAGTTGAGGCCAGTTGCTGTCGATGTATGCGCTGTTACTCCCGAGACTGGCCTGCTACTAGGAGTTGCCCGTTTTCACCAGATTGTCGATGTGTGCGGGGCAGCAACTCAAAGGCGACGGATATAATCAGTTGCCAGTACGATGTACGCTAGGCAAAAGAGATGACATGAGAACAGTAACAAGGACAAGTGTGAGAAGGTTCCCTCTCTTCACACACCTGGCTCTGGGTCTCAGAGGCAATCAAAATACAATGTCAAAGAGAAATGTTTTTTTGGATCTGAACAACTATTTACCCACATTAAAGGGTCTGGGTCAAAATGACCCGCAACATCATCTTTGTATACAAACTCTGCACAGACATTTCACTACACATCAAAGTGTCCAGATTTTACACACCAGTTCATGACCCTAGATGAGGAAAAGTCACCAAATTTCAGCAAGAAAAAGAAAGGATAACCAGTACTTTGATCAACACAAAAACGGAAATGGGTCAAATTGACCCTTAACATAATACAAGGGTTAAGTTATACAAAAAGCCAGCTCCCACTTCATCACACATACAAACTTTCTTTTTGTCCTCACAGCCTGAGCTTGCTGAAGTCTGTAAGTCTTATGAAGTTTGAATTGGCTTTTAAATAACTGTTATGCTCTATTTCTTTACGGAGGTCTTCTTTATTGACTTTTGAAAAGGCCATTTCCCGTTGCATGCCAAAAAGCTAAAAGTTTGTCAACATGGTAACATTATAAGCCCATGTCCCATTGCGCTGGAGGTTGGGGGTTGGTGCCCTGGTCGCTGCGCTCATGTAAAGCTAACAGCAGTTGTGGTATAGGTTGCAGATCATCAGCAATTCCTCGCAACAACTGTTGGCCCCCAGCCGTCCCCAGCAGTTGCCATGACATTGTTTTGTTTTATGTTTCGCCTACAGGAAGTGTTGACCATATACGGAGTCCGTGGACAAGTGAATGGATTATCTTTTAGCTTTAACACTTGTGATAAATGACCAGCCCTTGGTAACTCATTGACCAGTTGAAACGCATATTGTGGATCCCATGCGAACGCTGAGGCCACTCTTATCACATGCTTTTGATTAATGTTTCCACAACCGCTCTTTGAAACTGCGAATTTGTTTACGACTGCTTGATATAAAAGCGCAGAGACTATTGAAGTATCATGTGATGGGAAATTCAATATCGTTGCATTGATTAGCGTTGGATCAAGCACATCCGGCAACAAGGCTTGGAGCTCGAAAAAACATCTTTTTTGCCGCATTTTTTGTGCTCAGTTCTTTGTACCAGGGTGTGCAGGCCTTTATACGATAAGCCCTCCCTTTTCTTATCCCAGCTCTCCAAAATAAATGTCATAGTTTCCAGAGTGGGACAGAGGAAACTGAAGGGGGCTGGGTGGAGCGTAGCATTACCACAGCAACTTGTGCAGCCAATAGAATTTAGAGGGATTGCTTCCGTGGATATTTTCCCTTTTTTCACCCCTTTTTTCTTTATAGTTTGTCTCACATCGCTTTCTCTCTGACCCCTTTTTTTCTTAAAGGGGGCCTCTCCAGTCTGAGCAGCCTCCAACTATTTTGCTTGGTTTTGTGGTGTTTGTGTGAGCGCTAAGGGGAGGGGCTAGGGGGATTTGGCAACTCCTTTGATCAGTAAAGCATAAACAAGAGGAGGGCTTCAAAATGGGTTGCATTGTGTGAGAGGGGGGAGTGCTGAGTCAGGCCCTCTCCCTCTCGCTCGTTTCAGCGACGGCCTGGGATAGGGAGCAGACAGGCAGGGCTGGGATTACAACACAGGCCAAGAGAAAAGACAGAAACTCGTACTTAAGCCAGCTGTTCCTAAATCTGGTGGTGCTACGGGATCAAATGAACAGTTAAGAATTAGATGGTGGATCTGGTAGTAAGCTCAGTCAAAGATACAAAGGGTTATAATCCAATTAACAATACTAATGTCAATGACTGTCCAAATTAGTGCTTAAGTGGTTTGTAAGAAATGTCAGGGAAGAGAATTCTCGCCGTGATCGTGACAATTGCAACAAACGATAGACCGATATTGTAATAAATGGTAAATTATTTTTTTCATTGCCTAACTACTAAGAAATAAATAACAGAAATAACTAATAATTCACCGTAGAAGTTACTTATTCAACAGCAAGTATTGTCATTATACTACAAAAACCTCCCCACTATTTCCACTAAAAAGTATAGCGTTTTTTTCTTACTTTTGTGTGTTTCAAAGTTTAGTGGCGCCTTAACCTCTGATTTAGCTCATTGTATTAGTCCAAATCTCTGCCCTGTGTGAGAAACTGTTTACTTATACTGTACCCCTCTTGTCAGAACAACCTGACATTTATTTTTGTTTTGGTTTAAGAGTGGCGTTAAAGGGGCTAGCTCGGAAAACAAAACACAAAATAAAACTAGTTGAATGGGTTTTTTGGGGTTGTAGCTCTGTCTGCGCCTTTGTCAAGCAGGTGAAAGCTTTGTAAATGTGGCGCCAGATTGTTAAAGGGCCTGACACTCCACTGTGTTGGGGCCGCTTCCAGGAAAGAGGACCCCCTGCGTTGAGCCCTGGGACTGACCCTCCCTCAATAGTCAGGGTCCCACTCGGGGAGAGGAGGGCTTCCTGTATTAGCTTTCCATCTTAATCAAGCAACAAGTACCAACAAAGCACTAATTATCAATGCCTTCATACAATGCCACTGTGTACAGCCCATTCTTTCAAATTTGGCTCTTGGCCCAGTAAACAAAAACTAAAACTCTTGATGTGAGCAGTGGATTTGTGGCTATTTGGTGCATATCAAAATGTTGATTGTTTGTGATTAAGTTAGATGGCTTTCTTTGGATTAGACTTGATTATCTATCTAATAGGTGTGCACTGATACTGATGTCAATACTTTGGCTTTCATTATCTGCTGATACCTGTTGTGTTACCATGAAAAGGAGAGGATATTCTACTGCTTCTACTTTTATACTTTTCAAATTGCTGCTAACTCATTACAAAATGTGCTTGATTGTATTATTTAACAGCCATTTTTTTCCCCTAAACTAGTTACAGAAGTTCTTTGTTTAAACCTTGTGGATTAGCTATTAAATCTCATTACATCTATTGAAAGACCCAATTATTTATTTAGACTTTATTAAGGACTCATATGTGGGCACAGGGTCCCTAGCTAATAAGATAAAAGAGCAGGGTTTAGAGCATCCATAATATTCACAAACATGTCCACATATTTACAGGTCTTACAGAGACGTTTGGACAGTTAGGATTTTGCCCCAACCGATACCTGATCCAACTAGTTTTTCAATCCCAGCAGCGATATATCATACCTGCATTGGATGGATGCATTTCCACCAATTGATAAATAAAGTACTTGATTCATTCTGACACAATCAAAAAATGTGAAACTAGAAAAGGTCAGACGTTGATCCTACAGAATCAAATGTGTTCCTTGTCCAGTTTCTGAATTTGATTGAAAATGTTGATAAAATCCGGCTAGAACTTTTTGAGTCATCTTGCTAACTATCAAACAGATAGACAAACAAACTCTGGAGAATACATTATCCCTTGGAAGATGTAAACTTGTAAATTCTGAACTCTGACTGCATGGGATTTTTCTGTGATGGCCTTTGCAATGAAAAATAGTAAGAGGCTGACATCATCAGACGTTATCTGATTTATTTCTATGTTTAAGTTGTTTTCAAATAACATTAAGATTTGAATTTTCTAAATATAGAATAATCCACTCCAAAAGCATTCATATTATAGCAGTATAGCAAACAAAAGCAGACTTTGAAGTACTGTATGTGTCAATATAATCCGTATTGGGATTATCTTACATCATGGAGCAGTTGTATTTGGAATCTAACACAGATTGTTTAATGAACTTGAAACTGTATAGATCTATTGGCAAAAGTTATAGCGTTTTATTATTGACATGAATCTCTGTTGTGATGGTCATCTAACCTGCAGATTGTTGACATTGTTTCCACACAGATTTGACCCTGAGTTTGAACCCACTGCTGCCTCTTCACACGGCGGCGGGACATGTTTTCATACTGAAGTACTTATTGTCCTCTCTTGTCTCTCCACAGTCATATTGAACAAACGACCACTTGGCAGGACCCACGTAAGGCCCTGCTCCAGCTGAACCAGCCTGCCCCGGTCAGCGCCGTGCCGGTGCAGCAGCAAACCCTCATGAACCCAGCCACTGGTATGCACCACATCATCTTGAATTATTACCACAGTTACTTATTGAGGAAATTGGATTTTGGGGACTTTGTTTTCTCACACCTTACTTTCCGTCTCAAAAAAGAAAATAAACAAATTACTGCCTAAATGAATTGCATTATAAAACATTATGCTTACTGAAAAAACTTTTGTGACACTTTGACATCATGTTGACAATATCAAATAAATCACATATGATGGTAGTTTGTTTTATATTGTGCTTTGGATTAAATTGTGTAGTTGCGTCCAAGCAGTTTTATAGACTTCCCAAACTCCCCTTTACTCCAACTTTGCAGCATATATTCTTTAAATTATTGTGCCCCTTTGGTCAAACAGTATATTTATAGTTTCTTAACTTAACACATATTTTAGAGATTCCTATATTCACAGTGGAGCAAAAATATTACACATCCATATGACGTCATACTTTATCTTCTACCATATTTTATCCTTTTTATGCAACATAGAGTGCAATAGAGGTGTAAAGTCAAGTTCAGTCTAGTTACAACCTGCCGAGTAGATGGGGAAGCAGCGTTTTGTCTCTGCTGCTTGGAATTTGCCCTAGGTGAGGTAACGCCAAAGCAGAACGTGACGAGTCCTGTCTGACATGTTTGGGAGCTCTCTGACTCATGGAGAAGATTTACAAATGAAGTATCAGTGGATCCAAAAATTGACACATGTCCGTTTGGCAACAGATTCACAAATATGACCTCAGAGACCAAAATGAAAAATTAATATTGCTTATATCTGTAGATGGAAGTCAGTTTTAAATTCAAAGACACGCAATATACCTGAGTTCAATGTCTTGTGCTTAGGTCCTCTTCCTGACGGTTGGGAACAGTCTCTTACGTCTGAGGGAGAGATCTACTACATTAACCACAAAAACAAGACCACCTCCTGGCTGGACCCAAGACTCGACTCTCGTTTTGGTGAGAACACTGACTTTCATAAACGTTTTTGGTTTTTTTTTTAAATCTGGAAAGAGTCAGACGTTCAGATCTATTAGAATCATGTTAATCCAGTTATATATTTTTATTACTGCATGGTTGAGGAGCTGAGGAGGAGGGTTGCTGCATGAGCTGAATTAAAGTGAAGATTAAGCTAACTAACAAACACAAATAAACACAAAAATATAAACAAGGTTACAAATGCAACCAGGCTGCATTGTAAAGACACAGGTGTGTAGTGGGGGAAGGACTACAGTAAAAGGAAGTTAGATGGTGCCTATAGAAGCAACTGGATTCATTCTTCCAGTCTGAACTTTCACTTTAGCTCCATATCTTGAATAAAACAATGACTGTACTCTGACGGATGGAGAAGGTCAAAAGCTCCCCCTGTACAGATGAGAACATTTTGCTACAATAAAAGAACATTTGGTTCTTGAGACAGCTGTTCATTTACACAACGCTACTCTCCATGTCCATATTTGCTGCTTTAATGCAGTCTGTGTACTCCTCTCTGCACTGTTTTGTTGTGACTAGCCACACAAGTGGTCATTGAAAACAAAACTGTACCCCACAGTCTGCACCTAACCTTTTGTCAGCCATTTTAGTGTTGAAGCAACAGCTGAGTTGGTCATTAATGCCCCAGGCTGAGCGAAAGGTCGAACCGTGCTCTGTTGTTGTGCATGGTGGGTAAATTAGTGACCGGTTAAGCTACATGTATTGGATTTTTTCAACACAGATTGACTAATACCAATTTATGCCAAGAGGATTTCAAAGACGAGGGCTTTAGTTGGTGTCATTGTGATTAATTCATGCTTGAGGTGTCTTCCTTTTATCACAGCAGCAATCCTCTGGGACACAGCTTGTGAAATCATAGGCAGGTTGTTGCACTGTTTAAGTACCTTTTTTGGAAATGTGTAAGATGCATGTATCTGTACATGTATTTCACTTTTTATTATTGCTAGTGCTTATGTATGTAATGTTGTGTGAGGTTAAAACAGAGCGCTCATGTAAAAGAGAGTTTGGTACTCCCCTTGAGACCTCCCTGTATTAATAAAGATACATAGAAAAAATAAGTGAGGTCTCAGATACATGTGGTTCAGCTTCTCTCACCTCTGATGCCCTACCGCCGACTTCAAACCGGTGATAGTTATAGGCACACTCACTGCTAATTTAGAACTCATACTCATTTATTTTGTTTTATTATTTCTAGAGCAGGGTTGTCAAACATGAGACGCCAGATTTTCAATTATTATTAACTTGTGAATATTGATAGGACGATATGTCATGCTGTAGTTGATTTTTAACAACCATATTATTTTAAACATTGAACTCAAAACAGAATTTAGTTATAATTCAATAGAAAATCCTATGAATACTCCTTGTACTAGCTTATCTTGTTTTACAGGGTTCTGATGTACTCTTGGCGTGTCACTTCCGCCAGAGGATAATGTAATCACCAGGGTTTGTCTGTTTGTTTATCAGTGAAGAATAGAACTCAAAAAGTTATGGGCCATTTTTTCCTGATAAGCGCAGAAAAAAGTACATCGAACAATTGGTTTTGGTGATTTTGATCAAAGTCCAAACCCAGGCTGTTAAGAGATGGACCTGTCCCTCCTGGTGGATGTCTGTGCTCTACGAGTACTTTTATAGTTCTTTATTTAGAACTAGAACTTTCAGTGCGCATTGAGCTGCTGCAATTTGGTTTAAACTGCAGATGGCGAAATAAATTACTCGCTAACTAAACAAAGAAATAATTTACCTATCAGTCAATATTAAAAATCCTTTCTTACCTTTGGTCCAATTCTGATTCAATCCAAAAATAACTGAACTCTTTTTATTCAGAAAATAATATGTAATAATATGGATAATTATATGTAAACTTGTGTGAAATAATGTTATCTTAAGTTATCCTTTGGTCAAAATACCTCCATAATAAACCATAAAAAAACAACAGCAAAATATCTACAGATGCAGAAAATTCATCTGGAAATTCACATTGCACAAAGAGAACAATGAAAATGTTTGCGTAAAAAAGTACAAAAAGTGTACAATAACTCTTGCATTATATGATTCTGATCCGTTTGAGAACTGTTTGATTGCATTTCGATGGACCCAAGGCAAAATAGCAGCAGCCAGGTACTTTTGTGAATCCAAATAAAGAAATACAAAGAAATAACATTAAAATGCTTTTGATCAAAATACTTCAGACACTCGTGGGTTAGGTCCGTATTTCTCACATGATGATATTGTTAAAGTTAGTGTTCTTACTCGTTCACAGCTACAAAGAAAACAATTGGTGATTTATTATTTCAGTATTTTTTGTCTTCCTTTTTGCACACCTTGCTCAAACTCTGCTGCGCACACAAAACCTGTCAACCTTAAAACTATCGACTTTTTTAATGGAGACAAAGACTTTCATCCCTTTGTGTGCGCTTGTACTTTGAGAAACATACTTTTGAATAATTATGTCATTTTGAGACATAATCTGCGCCGAGAACTGCTCTGCCTCGTTTCTGACGCGCGGGGCCTCTCTCGTCTTACGCCAGCTCTTTGATAATGGCGTCTAATTTGAGCCTGGAGAAGAAAAGCAGCAGAGTGCCTGAAGCCTGCGTGCAGTTGCGTGAGGCCCAAGGAAAGGAGCTGCAACCCCATTTCTGTTGCTCCAGACTTGAATCTCTGCCAGGCCTCTTTATTCTGCGGTCCAACTCTTAATCTGTTCCAGACCTTTTCACTCAAAGAGCTCCAATGTGAGCGGAGTAGGAGGGGCGAAAGCAGCGATAGGGCGGCTGAAAAAAAAGGAAAGAAAAGAAATTGCATGAACAAGGAGGAAAATGGCCCAGGATAAGCATACATCCTCTCTATGGATTCAAACAAAGTGACCAGAAGAACTGTAGTTATGAGCCTCTCTGAAAAGTCTTTGAAAGGTTGGGAAATTGGGACCACTCTTTTCTCAAACCTGCAAATGAAATATATTGACTTACAGAGACGTGAATGAAAACTGAAGCGATATATTTCTAGTTGACAATGAAATCTCCTCCAACCTATAGATTTGTACCTATAGATGTATTTCCTTGTGTAATCTACATTGTTTTACTGGTTTGAACATATATATATATATTTTTTTTTCAATTTTGACCATGACAATACAGCACATATTACAATTGCATTTCAAATCATTGTAGTCCTGTCACACATTTGAAAAGGAGCAGAAAGATGAAAAAAATCTCATGTTGCCTGCCTCTTTCTAAAACATGCACAAATGAAAGAAAACATTACGCCTAAACATTAGCTTCCATTGTTTAGGAGTACACAGATGAATCAGAATCTTTTTTTTTAAATATATATTTTACTACAAATACTGTAAGTAAATTCTGTTTGTTTCTCTTGAAAGGGTTTTGTCAACATACACGGATAGACCAGTGCTGCATAGTGTATTTAAACTAAATTTTAACTTTTGAACTATTGCACAGTTGAGTCACTTTGATCAGTCACTATGATGCTTTGGGCTGAGCTGCTTATTCCAACTTCTCTTTTCTCGTCACTGTTCTAAATCTGTAATCATGACATTGATTACAGATGATACGTAAAGACAGATGATACGTATAGACAAGAAGGTCCTGGGTTTGACTTCCAGGAGGCCCTTCTGAGTTTGCATGTTCTCTCTGTGTCCGATACTCTGGTTTCCTCGACCACTCAAAATATCTACAGCGAGATTTTGGATGAAAGCAAGCCTTGATCTATTAGTGTATTTACAGCAGAATCTCTTTATTCAGACAGACGCATTCAAATAATAGGGAAGCTCATTTGCAGCCACATTTAAGGCATTAAAAATGACTACATTTGTTTACCTAGAAAGGGTGTCATTATATTTTCTATAAATGGCATCAAGAAGGTATTAATTGATTTGGTCTGACTGGGGCAACCCTGAATAAATACATAATACAATAAATATTAGTTGCTTTTCAATAACTCGTAAGATAGATTTGACAACAACAAAAAAACAAGTATTTCTTCGGCTTCAAAGATTGTATATATTTTAAAATAAATACATTGTGTATGTTGCGTTATGAATTTTAGTGCTGAAAAATTCCTGAGGGAAAGGGGTTTAGGCTGAAACTTTTACTGTCTATCCCTTCTTAAAACTGTCACATTATACTAGTTCTCATTTACCCCTGATGGTAACATGTAACACACAACTTAAACAAGTCATTTTCTAATCTAGAAAGTGAAGATTACTCAAAGTATCATGCCACGTCACTTCCCACAGTTAACACCTCTGATATCTGGCGGCCTGAGGTGTTGTGTTATAATACAGCCAACAGCACGATGGCCCCAGATAAGACTTCACTTCTGTTGTGTCCTATGTCTGCGTGAAGAAGACAAAAGGCAGACGGCATTAACTCGTATCTATCGCCCACCGGCTATCACCGCCCGTATGCACTGTACCGCTGACGTATACCAAACACACACACACACACACACACACACCCTATCTCCCTGGCCCTCAAGTGAACCTGTTCCTCACAACCGTTTCAGCACACACTGATATGCCTCGGTGTGAGAATCTAGTTTGATATCATAAATAAATAACATGAGGAAACGTATTGTGTGAAATTCAAAGTGTGTTTCGAAGCCGCACACACAGCTGCTTTGGGTTATATCTGAGCTGTTAATGCTAGGATTTAGATGCAGTTGTGTAATGGTTTAGCATGGGAAACGTACATTTCATAAGACAGGTGTGTGGGAGGGATGGCGAGTTTGAATCGTACAAGATGTCTGAGATGTCGACCTCCTGCATCGCCACACACTTTCTTTGTTATGATTGTGCTTCTGTAGGAAGTAGATAAAATAATATCATTTTGAAAGGGAATGTTGCAAATTGGAATGTCACTATTTAATTCTAAGTTGCAATTATTGTGAGAAAATGTTTCCATATTATGGCAAGTTGTATCTGTGGAGTTGAGAGTTGGTAGGAATTCTCTTTTTTTGGCAGTAACAACCTTTGTACCATTAAATAATGTAAAATTGTTCATCATGCCATCTATGTTCAAATTTCAAAACTCATCTGTTCGATTTCGCCTTTTCCCATTGATCTCACTAATATTATTTGTTATCATTATTTCATTTTAGTTATTTTATTGTTCTCTTTTGATTTTATGTGTCTTTATTAATTAAATGAATGAGTTAAATGAAATGAAGTGAATTATAATCAGTATGATAATTAATATAACAATAATAGTAAAAAAAAAAAAAAATTACTGTAGGTACATTCCAAACAAAGAAAGAACCTCTCCTTTGCAACAAGTTCATATTTACCTATGAATCACAATTAAACAAATATTAGTAATCGTCCGTATTTTCTTTTATAGATGATGTTGACTTCCCTTGTTGCTATTAGCGATAAAACAGCAAAACATGTGCGCTTGCTTGTCATGGTAATGTTAGAATTTTCTCTTTCTGATGGTTTCAGTGCTGAGTTGCTAGCTGCTGACATGTACAGCCAGGCATAGCTAATGCTGCTCCAACAACAGTGCAGCCACAAAGAGCCGTAGTGTCTGCAACAGATAAGTCCCACGGAGAAGTACCACTCACTCCCATGAAGTATGCGTGTGGGAGAGCGACTGGGTGCTGGAGGGGGGCCTGCGGCAGAGGGGAGGGGGATAGAGTTTTGGAAGGGGGCGGAGCTTAGCAGAGCTTCCAGCAGAGAGCCTAGAGCCAGCGTTCATTCAGCTCCACAGATAGTGTAAACACGCAGTGATTGAATGGTGATGAGAAAGGTGCCGGGACAGGCAGAGGCAACCCCGCATAAAAATCACCCCCAGTCGAGCCAAGCTTTGTTTTGGTTGAGACTCCGAGCGCATAAGCAAACAAGGGTCCTCATTGGTCCTGTAATGCTACACCCCTCATGGTCAAACGCATAGCTCCTTTAGCTCCACAGCAGTGATCAAAAGTGTGACCTAGTTTGCATGCATACATTGTGGGGTGCTTTATGCTCATGTTTGTTAGATCCCCCCATCAGAGCAGACAGAAGGAAAACAATGTCAGAAGTGGAGAGACAGCTGTGTTTTTTTCAAATACACACTTCTCTTCTGAGTGAAAACTTGACTATTGTTGTGTAAACTTTATTGACACGAGAACGCTACAGGCTGTATTCTGAAGGAGAATACATTGAACAATGGGCTTCATTAAAGCAAAACTAGTTTCATTTAGCTGGAAGTTGCACCCATGCCTTTATTATTACTGTTAAAATGTGATTGGCATATTTAGACAAAACAAACATTAGCAGACTCAAAGAACTCAACTTTTTTATTTGCTTCATAAATGCATGTTTGTCCTAAGTAACTTATTTAAGTAACAGTATTTGAGCAAATCATCTTTTCATATTTAACCATTTTATTTTTCACTTACTGAGAACTGAGTGGCTGAGTGAGGGCTGGTCCTCTTTTTCACTGAATGTTGATCAAATTATGTGACAGAGGCCATATTTGATTACATAGTGAGTTTCAAAGTTAGATACTGCAGCTTTAATAGGTCGCTTTAAATACTGGGAAACATTTCCAACACAAAATCTTATTTTTGTTGTATATAGTATTCGTGATCTTTCTGATTCTCACCATTTATTCCTTTTTCCCTCATTAATTTGGCACAAATGAAGCCAGCCGAGGAGGCAGTCAGTCTAGTGGATAATCTGTGATTTGTTTTGAAGGAAACCAGCCACACAATGAAAGGATAAGTCGTGACTGATGCAATGTACAAAACTAACAAAGCCTGTCTTAGTCAGGCGGTGGGAGGGGATCAGGTCTTACAGGAAGAGTTCTATTTTATTCTTTCAGCCGATAGTAACCTGCGTAGTAACCTGTGTAAAACCTGTGTAAAACCTGTGTAGTCGTCATAGTAACCACTGTTGGGACATCCCTCTGCTCAACTTGATGCACTGGCTCTACTGTAACCTTTGACCAAGTCACTGTTTTGAAGCGCTGCTAAGTCAAGACATGCAAACAAAAGAACATCGTTTATATTTATATCCTTTATATTGTTGATGCTGACCACATAATTTAATTAGATATTTAATACTTGTATTTAAAGCTGTACCAAACTTTTTGTTAAAGTAACAAATAAGACCACATCATGGTCTCTGTATCTTATTAAAAGTAATTGTATCTTTAACATACTGAAAGCTGATTGGGTGAATGAGGGCTGGTACACTCTGTTTCACTTGCATGCACAGAGCTTGGAGCTAGTTACTTGGATTTTATTACTTGGATAGTTAATTCATGGTGGTTTCACAGTAAGGTACTCCAGTGTTAATGATAATAATAATAACAATAATAATAATAATAATAATCATAGCATGCATTAAACATTACTTGGACAATTTGTTTCCCTCAAAGTTCCATCCATCCATCCATTTTCTTCCGCTTTATCCGTTGCCGGGTCGCGGGGGCAGCAGTCTAAGCAGAGACGCCCAGACTTCCCTATCCACACACACCTCCTCAAGCTCGTCCGGGGGGACCCCTAGGCGTTCCCAGGCCAGCTGAGAGACATAGTCTCTCCAGCGTGTCCTGGGTCTTCCCCGGGGCCTCCTCCCGGTGGGACGTGCCTGGAACACCTCCCCAGGAAGGCGTCCGTCGTTGATGTGTCCCTCAAAGTTATTTTTCATTAATAAAAAAAAAAACATATTGAAATGCTAACGTTTTCATGTTGCAGGTCTGAACCAACAAAGGATCTCGCAGAGCGCCCCCGTGAAGCCCACCGGCCCTCTCCCGCCTCACAGTGCCGTGATGGGAGGCAACAACCAGATGAGGCTGCAGCAGATCGAGAAGGAACGACTCCGACTGAAGCAACAAGAGCTGCTCCGACAGAGGCCCCAGGTCAGAAATCTCACACAAACCCCGCTCTCACATGTAATTGAATAATGTGTATGTAAACACACGCCGCGTGAGTCATGGTTCTTTGGTGAAGTAGTGAACCCAGATTTTTCTTTGATGAAGGTTTATTGAAGCTCTGCCCTGCAATGAAGTCTCTTAGTCATCGGTGGTAACTGTATCACTTCCTAACCGTGATGTGTCACAGTCCCGCCCCCACACTAAGCCCCTAGTCCAGTCCAGCGGTTTACTCCAGACTGTGTCATAACTGCAGAGCCCGGCTTTCTGGTTATGAATGAGGCTGCACAGACGGTGTTTACCATGCCATTCACACGAGCTCTTCGAGTGGAGGAAGTGAATAAACTTTGGTTCGGCCACAATGCCTTCGTTAGATAAATTGACTGAAAGAAAAGTGTTCAAAACCACACACACCAACTGTTGCATAGCTTATTGAAAGTTGACGCTGATAGATGTGTACTGATAGTAAGATAAGACCCTTTATTCGTCCCACAGTGGGGAAATTTCAATGTTGCAGCGCACATACAGGACAGTAGTAAGAGCACAAAGGGAGCACACAAAATCTAAAATATATGTAGCTGCTATGTTTCTTAGCTAGCTGTAAATGCTTCATAATCAATATATCAATGTAGCTCTATCTATCTATATATATGTAGTGTTAAGTTGTATACATATGGGCAGAATAATAAGTAGTTGTACCTTTGAATGTATTTATAATTAACTAAATTATACCGTACAGGCAAATATAAAAATATTTGAAAGAATAATTTACATGAACAACCACATCTCATTGAAACAAAATAAAAGATTTGTGGAAATATACAGTGGGTATAAGTATTTTAATAGTTATAATAGAATAGTCAGTGTACTTGGAAAACTGTATTTAATTCCAGAACACTGAAAACCTGGAATATTATTATAACATATACTGTCTTCTGATGACTCGGAGCACAATACTAAATGCTATTTTTTATGATGTTATAATGTTAAGTGCACACACGATAAGAACAACTTTCAGTTTATGCCATCATGCAGGTTTTTTTCTTATTTATTATAAAAGAAAAAAAAAACATCCCATATCATTTTCTGTTGAAAGTGTTTTAAATGTAACTATATTCTGAATACTACAAAAAGAAAAGATAACCGTGACTTAAATGCAGTATTCTCAGTGCATATTCTGTTACTCCTCGACTCCGAATATAGTATTTATGATAGACCCGGGTTTTTCACACTGTAATTTTCTGTAGCGTCTTGTCTTTAGTGACTTTGCTGAGCAGCTTGGAGCTCACACCTAATTATGTTTTTCTACTCAATATGGAAGAATAGCTGATTCATCTGATTTTTTCTGAAGGTCACTCTGCCATGGTGCTAGCTGGAGGCTAATGTGTTCTATTTCCATTTTTCACTTTCACCAAGATGCAGACAGACTACTACAATGACCCGAGTAGAAAATTGTACATATATTATCCAGGCTGTGTGCTTGTGAAGGGGGTTCATCTCCAGGCCATAAGAAGCCACACCCAAATCTTTTCCACATGGCAGAAGTGCAATGAAGACGGCATGGCAGCTTTACTGGCTTGTACTTTTCTGCATGCCACAATGTTATGAAAACTCCAAGGCCCTAGAACAGACAGCCCACCTATTTCAAACCAACAAAAATTCATCGAAAACAAGACTAGACATTAACCACAAACATAACATACGACGGTCCAAAAACATCCGAAAAGTCACATGACACGGATTAGATCTTAATTGTTGTCAGTAACTACAAATGTCCACTTGTTCCACCTCCCCGTTCAAGGACTCAGGCGGAAAGGACTAAAAAACATGACTTCATATCCTCAGCCTTATCAGATAGGGCCTGTGTGGAGAACAATTGTCTCCTGTAGTGGACGGCCTCTCGTGTAATCCGACACCATGTATGGACTCGGAGAAGCGCAAATATGTTCAAGTTAGAAATGTGTAGAATCATTGACATCTGTTGTTGTGGATTGATGATCAGTTGATTGCGTTTTAGGTGTACTTCAAGTATTAAAATATTGTGTTGTCTTGTGTAGGAACTGGCTTTACGAAATCAACTCCCCATGGATCAAGATGGCGGCACTAACCCTGTGTCTTCCCCAATGGCCCAGGACACCAGGACCATGACGGCCAACAGCTCTGACCCATTCCTCAACAGGTTGGTTTAGTTCACACACGCACAGGGCTTTAGGAGGGTGCTGCATACACAAAATGGAAACCCCCCTGGAACAAGAGCTGAGCGTCTCAATGCATGAGAATCGGGTTACTGAACACAAATAACGCTATTGACTTGTAACCGTGAGCAAATTTGTTCTTAGATGTCGTCTCAGTAAAACCTAGTTGATGTTGATAGAAAGAAGACCACATTTCCAAGTCTCCTTAACCCCCTTCACATGGGAATGAGTCACTTTTTGCTGTGATCGTTGCTCACTCGGGACCTCTGCTGGACATGTTGTGTATAGCAAGCATAAGAAATGACAAATATAGCCTCTGAAGCAAATGCAAATCGTTCGCTTTTTTATATAGCCTCACGCGGATGCAAAACGATGGCACAGATTTGCTAGAAAGACATTGAAGCATTTGGTCCAGTTACCAGACAGGATAACCTAATATCCCCTCCTCCCCTGCTCACTCACAATGCCCTCTTTCTTCTGCCTCACGATACACTGCCTACATATTTTTCCTCTACTAATCACTATAGGCTTGTTGCACGGCCTCTAGTTGGTGCCTTTTGTTGGATTATATTGGACATTTGAATTCATGGGCTGCTTTATCTGTTCAAAGAAGGTCAAATGCCTGGATATAGCAGCAAACTGTTCTTTCTAGGTATTCAGACATAAAACTATTTGTGAAATGTCTGCATAGAAGAGTCCCTGGGAGTTCGAAACATGTTATTATTCTACTCTACTATTTCCACCAGCGCATGCTAATAGTTTTCTTATAGTAAAAGTATAGTAGTCTAATGTTTGTAAGGAGAAATGAAGCGATGGTGAAGACTAATGTGTTTGTACTTTCTGTTTTCTAGTGGGACCTACCACTCCAGAGACGAAAGCACGGACAGCGGCCTCAGTATGAGCAGCTACAGCGTGCCGCGCACTCCAGATGACTTCCTCAACAGTGTAGACGAGATGGACACAGGTGTGAATTATGTATTCTGTTTATGTGAATATGCTGTTTACAAAGGACATTTTTGATTATTGTTAGAACAAATACTTAAAGCTAGTGTTCTTAAGTTTCAACCACTAACATTCTATTCATTTCCATTCCGGGTGTTTTTGTATAGCCCTAAATCACAACAGTAATTATCTCAGAGGACTTTACACTACCGTTGAATTAGCCAAGACATATCAGAGAATCAAAATAGAAAACACATTGGTATTGGTCCATAAGGGGCAGAATATGGGATTGGCTATGTAATTTATGGGGCTATGTAATAATCTTAACTCAGGGGTCTCCAACCTGTAGCTCGCCCCATCCCCTTCTTATAAGCTCCCCAAAAGATTCAGAAATGGAGCACATGAGTTAGAATATTTAGAAAAAAAGTAATTTCACATATATTTTCACTATAATAAATGTGTTCCTTGTGTGGACTATTGCAGGAAAATACATTATCATAATATTTTCAATACATGTGGTATACGTAGTTTGCCTTAGTTATTGCATTGACTAGATCTTTTAGCTATCCCCTGAATGAACCTTCTGCAATTTTTGTTTTGTAAAACTATCTAGTGTATCTCTTAAAAATAGGTTGGAAACCCCTGATTTAACTAGTTCCTCACTCTAAAAACAGTTTGGTTCTGACACTAGTTTTCACATGCATGTACTTTTGATCTCTGTCACATCTTTAGATCAGATTTTTGAGGCGCTACTTTCACTTACCAATCACCTCTCAGCCCAAAGTCAAGGAGTGACAACAGGGTTCTTCCTTACAATTATACAAGCGTGCACAGAAACACAAACTTAATCTTCTGATCCTATTACCCATCCCTTCATTTCACATCCACTACTACTACTAAACAATGTAACTTAATCCGTTTGTTTGTTGTGACCAGGAGAACCTCAGCAGACGTCCATGGCCACGCAGCCCAGCCGTTTCCCCGACTACCTGGACGCCATCCCGGGCACCGACGTGGACCTGGGCACCCTGGAGAGCGAGAGCATGGCTGTGGAGGGCGAGGAGCTGATGCCCAGTCTGCAGGAGGCCCTGAGCTCTGACATATTCAACGACATGGAGTCCGTTCTGACGGCAAAGATCGACAAAGAGAGCTTCCTCACATGGTTATAAAGGACTTAACCATGCATCATGAACTGCTGCTTGCGCTGATCTGTGAAGATTTCATAGATGCTTTTACAAGACATTTCAGCAAGCCTGTTTGGACTTCTATCTTGTATATCCTTTCCTTTTTTTTAAGGCAGTATTCTTCTTGTTTTTGTTTTTTCTTCTCTTGTGGCGTTATCTCTTTATTTTGTCTGTGTATTCAAGGCTGGCCCATGAACAGACAATTATCAACAAGGGTCCCCTGCATGTTTCACAAAACTTTGCTATGGAATCCACTGCATCTCTTCCAGGAGTCGCCCTCTGTTTCTGAGGAGAGCATGTATTCTGTAAAAAATTAACCTTTGTGTTTGATGTCTCTTTGCTATAGAGTGGTAAAATCATTTAACTTACCAATGTTTTTAAATATACATTTTCTACAGAGATATGTCTTGATCAAGCCTGATAACCAAAAATGATGTATTTGCTGAAATAATGATACTGATTTGGAGAAAAAGTAGGCCCGGCTTGAACATATTGAAGGTTGGAGTCTGGGGACCGATCGCGTGCTGCTTGGCTGTGCCAGCAATTCTCTATATGAAACATATTGTTAGATCAAGTGCCTTTAGTTGTATTTTTGAGACGCGAGCATGATGAACAAATATACACTTTCTTTGTGACGAATATTAAGCATCCATGAACAACAGACACGTTTATTCATATTATCACAAACATTAACACATTGTAAGCAGCTTACCATGGCTGTATATATATAAATATATATACAAGATCAGATTATGGATCTTGTGTATATATATACATAAGATTTATTTTGAAAGGTTGGTCTTGTTGTCTTTTACTTTATTTACTAGGTTACTAAATACATTTATGTATCAAAGTATAGATCAAATGGCATCAGCTTTTCTTTATTTGCCTGTAGACTTAATGATGACTTTTAACTGGATCAACTGCATCACAGCCTGTGGAGCTGTTTGGTCAGTTTTGGCTCTTAAACTTTTTGTCTATGATTTTATTGTATAAATATGAGTGTTTTTGTTGATCACATGCAGCTTTTAATCTTTCTTTCTAAAAGTGTTTTTTTTTTTTTTTACATTAACCAAAAACAGTTGTTTTTTGAGCGCAGCCAGCTCTAGCTAATGCTTGATTAAACTTTGTGACAGTGGAGAGTGTGTTGTGGCCGTGACAGGTTCTAGCAGGTCGGACAGTTTGAAGGCGCTTGAAAGCAGAAGGTCAAGGTTTAAGGTGCGTTATTTGTGTGAAATGTCAAAAAAAAAAAAAGAAATGAAAGAAAAAAATAAACAATCAATGTCCAAGTTTGTTGTGAGAGATTCCAAAGATGTTTTGATGCTAACACATTTTCTGGTTTTGTTGTAATCAGCCTGTTTGGAACAACATCATATAAGCTAATGAGACACGTGTAGAGCTCCAGTGTCGGGGACATGTCTGAATCCAGGATTGTCTCTTATGATGATTTTAGACACAAAATGATTTCTTTATGTTCAAGCAGTGATTTTGATGAGCTACTGTTTACATTCTGGAACGCAGTGATTTTCTACAGCTGCCGCTGACACAAACCAGAGACTGTTCCTCACATTGTTTTTCATGTTTACACTACTGCAGTAAGTTTCAAACACTTTCAAGAAGTAAAAACGGCAATTATTGATTCAAGAACTTGAACATGTATTATGTTAGACCTGACAACATGAGCATTTTAACAAAAGTGACACTACCAGCGTCCTGAATTGTACTTTCATGGCACAGTGTGGTTTAGGACGTGAGCCGTGTTCTAAGAACAATGTAACTCCAGCTGATACACTACACTTGGCTTGTACTGCATTTTCAAGTACTGACACACTTTGTCAAGAGCCTGATTTATTTTTTTCTTATTTAGTGTGATATTGTCAGAGTATAATAGTTGTTGACTGTTATTAGCAATAGGACTAATCACAAGGTAATGGCTTTTGTATTTAGAGATTTCTGGATGCACATGAAATGAATTCCTGTTCAGTAATGATTTGTTCTTTTCATAGATTTGTGCATGTTTTAGAACAGTAAATTCTGTTACAATATCTTTATATGAAATTTGGCCTGAAATAAAGTATATACTTTGTGGTAAATTCTGTATGTGTTTTCTCTGACATTATTCATCAATTTCAACTTCTTTTTAATGTATTCTTCACAACATGCCACAGAACGACACCCCTGTAAAGCGTATTTATGAGGTCCAACATTCTTCTTCTCATTCTTAACACGTCAATATAAATTCAACCCAGTTTACCAGGTTGGAATGTGTTTCTGTACGCATTTTATCTTTTAAAATATCAGGACTATTAATGAACATCCACGTTAAATGATAATCCAAAGTCACTGGACGATACAAGGGCCTTGATCGTCATTGTTGTAACCTTTGCACAATCATATCGGTGATGAGTTTCAGTTACTGTACTTACTATAATGAAGTTGGTGCACACAGAGACAGTATACAACAACAGTATTATCTCAAATATCCATCAATGCAAAAAATGGTCGTACTTGGAAAGCACAGAATAATTTGTAAACTTTTGAAAATCGTGTGTTAAAATTATACATTGCTTTTACATTATGTTTTGCAACTTATGCTCCATACATATATGGTCATGAGCAATACATAAAGAAAGAAAGAAAGAAAGAAACACAGACGCAGAACAACTTTGACATGTGTAGGTCCCAGGTTCAATTCCTCTTTCCCGCTTCTCTGTGTGGAGTCCCCTCTGAGACTGATCAAATTTGAATAATTTAAACACTACATGAATGTTGATAGTTTTGCGACGACTTTGTGCGTACATTACAACTGCAACAGACGATATATATCCGAGGACTCATTTTCAATTCTTCACCAGTGCTGTAGGGCATGTGCTGGGGCAGGATGTGCACGTTTATCATCTTCAAGCGGAAATCCTGGAGGTCTCCCAAACAAAGAAAGCAGCCCCAGATGCCCGCTATGGAAACTTACACACAACATGACCTGAGCGGCACAGGAAGTGGTCTGCTGGGCGCTTCTGATGACAACGTATTACACTGCTCTGTAATGGATCTGGTTCAGCTGATTTTTTGTTATATTCACCAGTTTTAGCACTTATTGTATGCGTATTATTCATTTATTAAAGATAAAAAACATGTACATTGCTTTTCTTTCTGAATTCCATTGATTTGAATGAGAGCCGCCAAAATTACAACTCTAGTAGTTTCATAATTCTAGGAGTCGTAGTGTTAATATATATATAAAATTAAAAAAACACAGAAATACAGAAAGTGAGAGTGCAGGAAAAAATGAAATGGTCATGTTCAAAACAGTTTAATAATCTACAGAGTATCATATAATAGTTATTAAATAGTACATGGCAAGTAGTACGTTTTTGTATCAAATTTAGTACAGATGAAAAGCATTAGACATTAGACATTATTGTGCTTGTTTTAACAAAAATAATCCAATATATAAATACAAGGCCAAATAATGTTGAGAAGGTACTCAATGATACCGGTATTACAACTGAATTGGATTTCACAGTGCTTCTTTTTGCCTAATTTAATCACATTAAGAAGTAGAATAGTTAGACTTGTTAAATAATACATTTCAGGGGAATGAAATACAAGCCTCTAAATGAACAGGAAAAGTACTGGACAGAGCACAAATACAACTCACAACCTTAGAATATACAAACCAGATTATAATGTACACGTCAATCTTATATACTCTCAATCTTATGTATGACTTCCCAGTATCTCATCAAGGTTTATATCTTTCATCCAGTCATCATTTCCTGACCCAGATTTGAGCAAAGACTCTATGAAGTCCGAGTCCGTGTTGATGCCAGGGACCGTGTTGTCGCCTTCGGGTAAGAAATCAAAGGTTAGCTGGTTGCCACGACTACCCTGAAAGCTACTGGAAGCCGAACCTGGCTCTCCAAACGCAGCCGCGGGGACCCTTTGTTCCGGAGACGCCTGGTTTAGTGCGGACTGGCTCATGATCGCCTGGTTTGGCCTGGGGTTAATGTCCCTTAAAGTCGGGTTGTGTCGCAGAATGCCGAGATCTGGCGCTACCTGATTTGGAGGTCCTAAATGCCGCTGTTGGAATGAGAGGTTTGGCATGTCCATTTGGCTCGGGTTGGGGAGGCGTCTCATCCCAGAAGTCACCTGTTTATTCGCTGGCCCCCATCCCATGTTCACATTAGAGATTAAACTGCCCTGTCCTGCATGCATCTCAGGTCTCCCGTGCTGTACATTGTTCAGGCCAAAGGAATTCCCCAGTGAATTCATTCCCAAAAAGTGAGGCTTGTTGGAGTTGCTGCTGGGCTGGAATTGGTTGAGACACGAGTTGGGGAGACAGTTCCCGAATCTGTCGTCAGAAGAGGAGGTCTTTGGGGTGCTGGTGATTTGGCAGGACATGGACTGCAGCTCACTCGCGGGGCCGTTGCTGGTTTGCTGTGCGGAGGGAGGGCCTGGGTATGGAAAACAGACAGTATTATAGTGTGTTCATTTGCCTACAGTGCGACATGCTGTTCAGCTCAGTTTTGGGAAGACTGGTGTATGTGTTTTCTTAAATTGAATTATTTGTCCATTTTCTGTGCCTTGTAGTGTCTTTGCATTTTCTTTTATGTGGACCTTGAGTCTGGAAGAAAGATTGTATTAAAGATCTACTGCTACTAATTGTATGATTCAAAGCTGGAGGGCCTAACTTTGAAACTACAAAAAATAATTGTAATAAAATCCATGTAAGTAAAATATAAAACATTTACTAATAATAAGATACTGTAAGATAAACTTTGTAAAGTCCTCCAACATAACTTCGATTTGGGGCTATATACAAATACATTTAAATAGAAATGGATAAAGATGGCATGTAGTGATCTAATTTGCAGATTTTTTATTGGGACAAACAAAATGATTTCTGCTGATGTGTGTTACCTGTGAATGGATTTCCCCTGTTCAGTCCCACAATGCTCCGGGGCAGTTTGTACTCCGGTGGTGGTCTGGTCAGGTGACGGCTGAACTGTTCGTGTGCGTCTTTCTCCTGTAGCATGAAGAGAAGCAATTACATAATAATTATATGCATGTTTTTTTTTTAATTTAACCTTTATTAAACCAGGAAAGTTCCATTGAGATTAAGAAACTATTTTTAAAGTGAGTCCTGGACATGAGGCAGCTAAAGTTACACACAATTACACAATAACACAATATTCCACAATTAGATTTTACTGATCTCCAACCCCCCGACCCCGAAAAAGATTAAAAGAATGAAAATGAATGGATAAAAATAGAGTTAGTAAGTAAGTAATCTTTATTTATATACCGCCTTTTACAGACCAGAGTCACAAAGCGGTTTACAATGGTTATTTATTGGGCACTTGTCCTCTCACTCCACACAGAGATGGGAGCGGGGTCGCCGAACAGGAGGCGCATGCCAGACCTATTGTACATATTTTTAGTGGTAGGGGAAACCGGAGTACCCGGAGGAAACCTACGCAGACACGGGGAGAACATGCAAACTCCACTCAGAAAGGCCCTTGTCCGGCCGGGATTCGAACCAAGGACCTTCTTGCTGAGAGGCGAGAGTGCTATCCACTCAGCCACCGTGCCGCCCGAGTTGTTTTTATTGTCATTTTGTTTAGATATGAATGTAGGTTTCGGTTTAAGTTTTGTATTTTAATCATGTATTTTTGATTGTATTTGTTGTCATTGCCTTAAAATAAAAGGCCTTTGTTGAAACAGAGATTTAAGCCAATGTGTTCGAGACACCATTTTCTTCTCAACAATCAAACAGTCATCAGTTTATGAAGACAAATCAATTAACCAATGTTCACAGACATCAAGTGTAGGGATCTGTTTTTAGTTCCTTCCTGACTTTTGCTGCATTTATGTGATCTCTCATGTGAAACTGGATACTATAGCAGTGGTGACACAGGTGAAATGGAGCTGGATTATTTGTCGAGGCACAGAAATCTTTACTGCTGTCGTATGAGAAATACCGATGCAGGAGGGAGTAAGAACAGAGAAAAATCAGGACTTTTAAGGACATTTCTGGACTTTTCTGTACATTAGTCGCTGCCTATGGACCAATGGCTGCTATGTGTTATTAATGCATTTCCTAAGTTCCAGCTAAGTTCCAGCTAGCGACAGTAGCTCAGTTGGTAGAGCATTGGCCTTTGGGCCTGAAGGTTTTGGGTTCGAGCCCACCGTAAAACCTACTTCACGACTCCCACTGATGACTGCTGTCGTTGTGTCCTTGGGCAAGACACTTAACCCTACTTTGCCCAAAGCCCCAACTGAAAGATCTCAGCTCCTGTGGACTCACCACCTGCAGGAGGATCAGTGAGAGGCTGGTGCTATGTGTACTGGGTGCAGCTCTGACTGCCCCCCCCCCCCCCCCCCCCCCCCCCCCCCCCCCCCCGACCCAGAAATGGATTAAGGGGAAGAAAATGGATGGATGGAAGTTCCAGCTGTTTCTTTTTCTTCTGATCTGTTGTTGGTGAATCTACAACTCTGTACAGTCCTCTGCTGTTGTGATTTAGGGCTATACAAAAATACATTGAAAGTATTGCAAAGTGGATTGAATGAGAAACACAGAGCAAATCTATGGTTATACAAATATACCAGGGGAACCGCGGATGTTATGGCAAACTTTTGTGCTGATACGACTCATGAAGAAAAAATGTTTATTTTTAAGTAAAGCCATCAGTCTGATATAAAACAAATCCCCTCTCAGTTTGTCTCCATTCTGTCCTCCAATTAAACTCTAACACATTAAAAAACGCTGACGCAAACTTGTAAAGTCGGGGTCCAACATTTTCTCCTGAGTGTAAGTTCCAACCAGAGTTACTTTCATTTATGTTTTTACAAGTCGGAAATCTGATCTTCAGAGTTTCCGAGAACAAATGAATGCAACATGGGTCTATGCTTAATATGTTAACCGGTCAAATGAAAATAATGAAAAAAATGCTCACCGCGGCGTGCTGCGGCGGGAGGAGTGGTCTCAGCATGCCTTGGTTCTTCACTGGAAGCTTCTGTTGGCTGTTGGGGACTGGAGGCCTGGGCTGGGTCAAAGTTCCCATAACTCCTAGACTACCGTTCATATGTAGCTTTGGACACGTGGGACCAGCCTGGGGGAAGACAAAAACCATGGAGAAGGACAAAACCTATTAGAAGGACATTTAAAAAGCAACTTTTTATGTGAGAAAATAGTTTACATTTTTTTGTGTTTTTGACCTTGTAATGATTGGTGGATGAGAAAGTGGTCAGCATGGGGCCTGAACTCTTGATTTCAGTTGTGTTGAAATTTGCTCCATGATGAAGTGTTTTGAAGGTTTCCTGATGCGAGGGTCTCTCAACGAAGAAAAAGAAAATCTTCCAAACAATTGATCCTTTTAGAGCCTTTTAGAATACCGCTGGGATGGAGAGTAAAAGCACCATGATGACCACTTTCACAGCTCCTGGGCTACTGCAAGGTCAAGTATGCCAAATATCAAGTTACAGAATGCACCTTACTTTGAAGCCACCAAAACAAAACTGTGTAATATAACCCATGTGACTTAAAACTGTTTGGTTCTGTCACTAGTTTTCACATGCATCTATGTGTTGGCCTCACACACACATCTTTAGACCAGCTTTTCACAGTGAAAGAGAGTACCAGCCCTTATTCAGTCAATCAGCTGTTAGTATAGTAGCATATTCTCACAATGTTACTTAAACATAATTATTTCTGTTGGAGCAAACAGAAAGTGTAATATTGGATAAAAAAATCAAAAATCGTCTGATTACTACTGGTTTTGTGCTACAATTACAATGAAACAAAAGATATTATTTACATTCATAATCAAAAATATTGTTCCTGTCCTGTACTGTATCTGTATATGATCTTTCTTCCGTGTATCACAACTTTGTCTTAAACACTCTTCATTGGTCTAATTTAGGGATTAATGCAGTCTTAATTATGCCTCTCCATTTTAAAAAGTCAATTCAAAATGGAGATGCACCACAGTTTGAGAAACACTGAAGTAACTCATTAACATTAAAATTGCTATAGATTCAGATGTGAAATATTGGATTTATTCAATACTTGAGTGGTATTTCTAAACATATCTTCACATACATATTTGTATATTGAATGTTCTGTCGTTTTGTTGGAGTGCTTTAACTTTTTATGGAAACATTTATACTACTTTTCACCTCTGTAATCTCCACGTTCAACGCTAATGCAATGCTGTGGCTTTCCCACTAGATGGCGCTCCTGTGCAAGCTTGTGTGCTTGAAAGGGGCTATTCAACCTAGAGAATGTGGTCAAGGCTACTCCCACTGCAGATAAAATAGGACTGGGAGAGAAGGGGGGAGCCCTCCTCAAGGCCTGTGCTCCCTTGATAATTGTGTCTGAAGAGAATGGAAAGAATCCCTGAGACAGCAGGAAATGTGTCCCGATGGCAAGTTATGCACCAGCTCTATGCCTTCATCTGTACGCCCTGAACATACTGATGCAGTCTCCCTCTGCGTCCACAACGACCATGATTCTACCAACATGTAAATACATAATGAAACTATAGATATATCACATCATTAAGACAGGAACAAGGAGATAGTAAGTTAAGACAGAACACTTTTTCAGTTGTACAAGTTCCATTTTTCATAAAAAGAGTTAACATGCACCAAATGGAAGTCAACACAGCTTGTGTAAACAGCTTCAGTCATGTGTTGACACTACATTTTTCCCATGGCAAACTGGATTACATATCTAACTGTGCATGTACTAGAAGCCATTACTTAAGACGACAGTTTTAGTCCGAGATGTATCTCAGGGTGGTGACTTTGCGGTTCATCAAAGGGAAAACAGAATTGTAGATTTGCATGTCAGTGGTGATGAATGACACTGAAATTCACAGCACTAACAAGAGCAGATTAAAGAAAAGGAAAAGCGGAAAGTCACCAGAGGCATTTGACATGAGCTAATATTCACCTTTGAGTACAGCCCACACAAACCAGTCCTCGCCCTGAGGTTATACCAGGCCTCAAACATACTTCTCCTGTTTCCCAACAAAACTCTCACTCACTGTGCAATTATCAAGCCTGGATTTCTAGTCCTGAACCAATGCCATGTATTCAGGATTTAAAAGAGATCTTGAAAGTTTTGCTTTTTCCTCCAAAAAGTAAAAAGTGAACACTGTAGTTTTCATTACTTGATTCGCTTTTTATCAACATGTTTATTGTTTTAGCACTGTTTGAAACTTTCTATGCAAAGTTTGAATGTTCTCCAGATATCTGTGCACCATTGGAAAAATCCTCCAGCTCTGGTCTTGACCAGGCCGAGTATCAACATGTGGATTATGTCCTGAGCACTGCTCCTGACTGACACGGACTACCCCTGGGCACTGGTTGAAGGATGGGTCAGATAAAGACACATTTCCCTACCAGGATAACAAAGTATGAAAAAGTCTGATTTCCCCTATTATCTCATGGGAAGTGAAAGTCAATATTTTGTTCAGAAAGCCAGGAGCTGGGACAAGCTCTCCCAGCTCAACGTGCCCGATTCCACCTGCAGGTGGATCACTGACTTCCTGACGGACAGGAAGCAGCGAGTGCGTCTGGGGAAGAATGTCTCGGACTCTCGGATTATAAATACAGGAGCCCCACAGGGCTGTGTTCTTTCTCCCCTGCTCTTCTCCCTGTACACCAACCACTGCACCTCCAGCCACGACTACGTGAAGCTCATCAAGTTCGCGGACGACACCACCCTCATTGGACTCATCTCCAACAACGATGAGTCCGCCTACAGGAGGGAGGTGGACCGGCTGGTGTCCTGGTGCAGTGGTAACAACCTGGAGCTGAACGCCCAGAAGACAGTGGAGATGATTGTGGACTTCAGAAAGAGCACAGCCCCCCCGCCCCCACCCTCCGTGATGGACTCCCCCATCACCTCTGTGGAGTCCTTCCATTTCCTGGGCACCACCATCACCCAGGACCTCAAGTGGGAGCCGACCATCAGCTCCCTCATCAAGAAGGCCCAGCAGAGGATGTACTTCCTGCGGCAGCTCAGGAAAGCCAAGCTGCCTGCACAGATGTTGGTGCAGTTCTACACGGCCATCATCGAGTCCATCCTCACCTCCTCCATCACCGTGTGGTTCGCTGGAGCCACAGTCAGGGACAAACAGAGACTACAGCGCATTGTGTGCTCTGCAGAGGAAGTGATCGGCCGCAGCCTTCCATCACTGCAGGACCTGTATGTCGCCCGAGCTCGAGGCCGGGCTGGTCGTATCACAGCCGACCCCTCTCACCCTGCACATGGACTATTCCAACCACTCCCCTCAGGCAGGAGGCTGCGGTCCATCAGGACTAGAACCTCCCGCCACAAGAACAGTTTCTTCCCCTCTGCTGTTGGACTCTTGAACACTTCTTAACCTGTCCCCCCGCCCTTTATAAAGTCACTTTACTGCCCATCATACGTCACTTTACTTCACTGTACTGCTGTCACCTTACATTGTGTGCACCATGTGCACTTGTATATTGTAAATAGTAACTGTAACTCTATTTTAAATTTAAATGTATTCTTTAGAAGTGTTTTTTATTCTTATTTTTATTATCTCTTTTTGACTGTTGCACTGAGCCAAAGCAATTTCCTAGTCTGTGACCTCCTGTTACTTACGTGGCAATAAAAATGATTCTGATTCTGATTCTGATATTTTGTTCAGAAAGCCAGGAGCACTTAGACCAGAGCATTAAGAAAAGTAAATTTCTCAAGTTTTCATTGTATTTGACATTGTATTTGAGTGCTACACCATCTCTGCTGCTGTGTCCTACAGTACTGATACTACAATTATTGTTAGCTACTTTTAGAATGATCATATTTGTGTTATTTGTATGGATGGATGTGTTTCTGAATTTCTCCTGAAGGGGATAAATAAAGTATCTATTCATCCATCCATTTTCTACCCTTTTAATCCATTTCTGGGTCAGGGGGGTGGCAGTCAGAGATGCCACCCAAGTCTCATAGCACCAGCCCCTCACTGACCCTCTGCAGGTGGTGAGTCCACAGGAGGACAGCTGCTCTCTGAGTGTGAGCATAGCCTTGATCTTTCAGTGGGGGCTTCAGGCAAAGTGGGGTTAAGTGTCTTGCCCAAGGACACAAGTATCTATCTATCTATCTATATATCTATCTATCTATGTATATATCTGTCTATCTATCTATCTATCTCTATTTAAAAACAAAAAAAACTTACTAAGCCAACATAAAAGATATTCACTTTGACTCAGTTTAAACAGGTGCCACATACAAATCTCTGCCGCTGTAAACCCATGTAGAAGCTTCTTGTAGTGTGCAAGACAAATCCATAGATGGTGTTTGAGCGTGTTCAGCCTGAGTAATCCCCTCCTCATCCCGATGTGTCATGAAACTGTTTTCCATGTTTTCGCTCTCATTCTTCTCAAGCCTGTTGTAAATGAATACCACATGTGGGCCTCGGAAGGAGTGATTTAGGCTCCATGGTGCAGTGGAGCAGGCAGCTGACAGTGATCCAGCCTGGGCTCTCACACTGCACTTCCTCCAGGCTGCACTCAGGACACTGTCCCGGGGGAATCCATCGGCATCTGGACTTGGCCCTCGTTGCCTTTCCCAGGAAACAAGCGCTCCCTTCTCTGCACTGGCAGCACGACCAGCTATAGACTCTAACCTCCAGTCAGGCGCCACAGCTTCATTTACAACTTTATGCATTAAAATTCGACTCACTCTTTGGGCTCAAGCTGCCAGTGTGCTTTAAAGTTGTATACTGCAAAAAAAAAAAAAAAATCATATAGCAAGGAAGATCCTCCAGAGCGTGCAAATGAATGGTTTAGTCGAAGCCAAGGCTGGGATGATGAAACTGCTGCCAAACAACTTTTCTCACCTCAGTATTATTCCGACTGTTGCGATGCTTTTATCTACTGTATATCTTAATTAATCTCCATCTGGTTAACCTTTATCAGACTTATTTGGAAAAATCAGCACTTAAACACTATATACAGTCCCTATATGAATGCCCTTGTGGCTATATTCATAAAGCTTTGTGAGAATCTCCGCATTAGATTAATAAACATATGCTCAATGATATCTAAGACTGAATGATAATTAAAGTGGCTCAATGAAAGGTCTTGTGTGTTGCTTAAGCTCAGGGTCTGAACAGATGTTGTATAGAGCTGTTTTGACTACAAACTCGACTACACACTGCCCTTTTTAATGTGCACTAGCCACTACTGCATTATATTTTCACTCTGCGTCAGTGTCCTCTGGTGTACCAGGCTCTCACTTTACATAAATTATGTATTTTAGCACAACCTTGGCTCTTAGCACGATCGAATGCTAATTAAACTGAACATTTTCCATATACCGACTTAGCTTCATCATACATTCTGCAGTGTTTGGATGTACTGTGTTTATTATACTTTGGTATATAGTTCAGGTGCCCTCCAAATGCATTTTTTGTTTTTTGTATTGCTTATGAATGAAATAATGGAGTACACTGCAAAAAGGGGCTCTAAAAAAAAGAAAAAATAGCTAATATTAGAGGAAATGTCTCTGATGATTATGCCACGTGTTAAGATTTCTTGAAACAATAAAACATATTAATTATTATTTATATCTAGTTATACTATCTTAAATATCTTCTACTTGCATGAGTAAAAAAAGTTAAAAAAAAAAAAAACAGTGTGATTAGATAAATAGTAGTAGATCTTTATCAGGCTTCTTCTTGGAACACTTCAATCGGAAACGAAAAGGACCAAATGCAAATAAATACCTTGGTTGATTAATTGATTGATTGACTGAACTGGTTTCTTTCAATGCTCTCTGCTGGATGTATGAATGATGAATTAAAATAAAAAACTATATCTTATGTTTATTGGATCGCATTCAGGAGATTGTATCATAAAGCGTAAAAATGAGAAACGCACATTCTATAAATCTCCCTCAATCATAACAAATCTAGGATTCAACCTTCCGGCACAAGGCTAAGAAGATTACTGTCATTTTCCACCACTTGTCCCTTGTAGCTAACAACCTCCAATTAGCAAATCCCGCTGTGCATATCTGTGCTGTGACGGCGAGCCACCCTGACAAGCAAGGAAATTAAAAGTCCTGCATGTTAATCCACCATGCTCTGGCAATCTATGTCATTGTCAAAACACTTTGGAAATACATATTCAACAGAGTCACAGGCAGACAGCGGCAAGAACAATCGCAAATCAGGTCTCCAAACAAACAAACAAACAAGAAAATAGAATCGCATTGTAGTGGATTTGGACAGCAGCTTCACAGCCAAAAGAAAGAAGGAAAATAGAAGGAATACTGAGGTATGATTAAGTGGCACAGGCTGGAGTGGACCTTGTTTTATCTCTTGAAACTTGCACAAGAATAATGTTAAACTGGGTGTAGGAGTCTGGACGCCAATCAATACAGTTGAGAATTTCTGCAGGCTAATTTGTGTATGAGTGGAATTTTAAAAAGTAAACAATATCCTAACACTAATCAATATAGAGCTGTAACATTTCATATATGAATTGCAACTAATAAAACAAAAATTCAATAAACTATTCAACAACTCATTCATTCATTTTCAGCCCCTTTATTAGTCCATTTCTGGGTCAGGACAATGAGAGCTCCCACCCAATGCTCATAGCACCAGTCCCCATATTCAACAACTCTTTTTGCAATTAATGAATTCATCTTAACTGTTCAATTTCAAGCTCCAACACGTGGCGAACATGCTGTGGGATGGGATTTTAAGACTCAAACAGAGCAGTGAGTACAAAATAGTAACACCAGAAATGAATATACAGTATGTCTCAATTTGACAAAAAAATTGTTTTGTCTAGAACTATTACCTATTAGAAAGCTCTCCAGTGGCTTCAACCTTTTCTGGGTCAAAATGAAATAGAAATTGTGTATCCCTGTTCTACAAAACTAACTAATGAATCTAAGGAATAATCAATAGATAAATCAATTGTAGAAAAATAGTTGTTTGACCAAAAGTGAAACTAGTACAACATGGAAGAAAGAAGAAAAACAAAACCCAGAAGTGGATTAAGGGGATGAAAATGGATGGATGGATGGTATTTTTTAAGTTTGAAAGTCACAGAGTCACAAAGTTTCAGATTAAAAGTCACCAGTATGTGTGTTTGTGTGTTTATACCTGTCTCGGCTGTGACGGTTTGAATGGTCCTCCTCCCAGCGGCGGTGAGGCCTTGTTGGGAAGACAGAGAGGCCCTGTGATATGGTCCTGAAAGTGGAGGCTGCTGTGTGTCTGGCTCTGGTTTGGAGAAGGTGCCTGCTGCCTCTGCTGCTGATGCTGCTGGGCTTGTGCTGGGGTCTTGGCCATGGCACTGGGCATGGACATAGGCTGAGGGCCTGCTTTCGGGCTGAAGTGCAGCGATGGCTTCATGTTCAGCATCTTCATGTCAGGAGGGTGAGCGCCTGCGTGCCCGTTGGACTTGAACAGACAGTTGTTGAGGTTTTTATTTGGAGGGATGTTTCTCTGTGCGCTGAGTGGGCTGGAGAGTTTGTCCTGTGTGAAGGAGGAGCTGGAAGAGTTAACTGCTGAGGCCCAGGACATCCCTGCTCCTGGACTCTGGTGATGGAGCATTGAGCCTGGCTGATGCTGGTTTGCTGCCATTTGCTTTAGCTGCTCTGCATGGGATATCTCAGGCCAGCAGGGCAGAGATCTGGGCGGTCCCACCTGAGAGCTGCTTTTCTGTGACGTCCCATTGGGTGATGTACCGCTCAGGGTGAAAGAGGGGCCTGCTGAGGCGGGCCGAAGCTGCGACGCGCAACTGTGAACATGGCCAAAATCTGGGGAGTGCTCCAGCTTTATAGGCCTGTCAAGTGGAGAGCACAGGGAGCCAGCTGCCCCGGCCGAACTGGGTCGACCTAAATCAAGACCAAAAGTGTCATCCTGCTTCAGCATCTTCTCGAACTCCAGGTCGTTGAGCGGAGGCACAGACTTAGTGAGCTCATCAAATAAGTCCTGCAGCTCCGGGTCAATATTGCTGGCTCCTTCGTCTTTGAAATCTTTAAAATCCTTAAAATCGAAAATCATATCGCTGTGGGATTGACCACAGGACGGGTTGTCCATGGGCTCCTTTTTCATCTCTTTTAAAGTTGTGTTGAAGATGTCGGAGCTGACGCCATGGGGCATCATCCTCTGCATGTTCAGAGAAGGTCCTGGCATGGACTGGTTCATGTTACACAGCCCCTGCCCCAGACCGGAGTCCAGACGCATCCGCTTATAGTCCGCAGCAGAGAAACCTCCCAAAAGCCCGTTCTGCTTGGCTGTCTGCATCGATCCATGACCCTCAATTTTCCTCCGTAGCGATCCGAGCTGAAACACAAAAGGAGAAATCATGAAAACTTAAAACCAGGCAAACTCCGGCCCGCGAGACAATTTTAAGTGGGCCATGATTTTCAATAATCTTTATCGCAGTTACTTGCAGCATTGATGGTGTGGGACTACTATAGCATGTTTTACCATAATGCATTGAAAAGTTATAAAAAAGAAGAAAAAAAAATTGTCTTCCCTCTCTTATTGATATTGTGCCCAGTTGCGGTTGAATACAAACCTATTAGAAAATAATATTCGAACTCATGTGTATTGCAGGTCAGAAATATGTACAAAAACATACAAACTTTTATATCACTTTCATACTCCTGGCCCCAACCAACTCATATGTTTTTACATTTTTCCTCTGACAAAATGAGTCTGACACCCCTGCTTTATGCTACAACAAACAACCAACTGAAAAGACTGCGTTGAACATGTCATTAGTCCACTAAGACAAAAAAACAACTCTGCTTTTCTTTAATGACAGCAGTAACTTCAAAGACATCGTGTGAGCCTACTCAAATTGTGATGATAGTTCTGGGGATAGTGGCATTAAAACTCTACATCTAGCTCTAAATATTACCATGTAATCTAATCCAATTTCACAATTTGCCCGGGGCTCGTACACGTCGCGCACTAGACCAACTGCTTTTAATAACACTGTTTTCATCATGTCGAGCTGGAGTGTGGATTTTACAGCGCTCATTCTGCCCCGAGAGCTTTTAACGTGGCACAAATCAACCACTAGGAAGTACATACGGTGGAAATTGTTTTTAGTATTATAGCGATAGTTCATCAGTGTGTAGAAAGCAGGTTATGAGCAAGTGAGAGCGGAGCACCCAAAAGAATACACTCTTTGTCTGCCTGCTTCATTTGCATATATTATCGTTTGCTCCATTGTGCTTCATTAGATTGCAGTCTTTTTCCTTTGTGGATAAAATTTTGCTTAACATGCTGCTGGTGTCTAAATCCGTCTCCTCTTTGTTCTGTCCCATGTTTCCATCAAAGACAATGTTAGCGGTGCATTCATAACTTAAAACAAACAATAAATAAAGCAAAATATATGCATCTAGTTTTGTTAATTTACCATCCCTCTCAAGATAATAGTACGTGTTGTGTCCCAGAGATGCTATCGGGATCTCGGGGCTGTATCTAGGACATTGCTGCACAGACAGAAAATACCTGTTTGGCTGTCTATTTAAATAATCTTCCCACCATGGAAAAATAACTGATATTATCATGTGCCACTATTTGTAGATCTCTTAGGTGAGCGGGTTTTCACTGTGGGGGGAAACGGAGCCATTACACCAACACTTTTTTTTCACTTATATTTTTCTTAATTTTTTTCAGTTTCATACAGGATCCGGTTGTTTGACATAAATGCATAGATATACATTTTCTTTTTCGCCCCTACAGAGACCTGAAATGGAGTGGGAAAAAGCAATATCTATGACTCCCTCCATCTACATGCACATACATTCACTTCGACTGCCTGGTCAACGACGACAATTAAGTTATAATGTATAATATAATTACTGTCTATTGTCATACTGTCATTATTATTGTTATTATTATTATTATTATTATTATTATTATTATTATTATTATTATTATTATTATTATTATTATTGTTATTATTATTATATACTTTCATGTACAGTCCCATTTGTTTCCTTCTTTGTGACAAAATTAACTACGGTACCACTTAATGATGACTGTTGTTTTAAAATCATACAGTAAAACATTTAGGTGCATTCACATAGTTTAAACATGTTATCACCTGCACTTTCTTTGTTGTTGTTGTACCGTTAAAGCTAGCTAACTTGTATTAATGTTTCAAGAATATATATTTTTTTTCCCCACAGAAGGAATCTTGTTTAAAATAAAGATTAAGAGATTCTTTATTCGTCCCACAGTGGAGAAATTTCAGTGTTGCATCACAAGTTATAGAACAGTAGGAAAGAGGAGCACACGGCACAGATTAAGTGAACAATAGCTATACTAATTAAAATATAACACAATCTCTAACTCTAATATAACTATGAAATCTCTATCTTAAAAATAATAATAAAAGACGTGTAAAAGTTTAACATTTGGCAATAAGAGGCAAGTATAAGTTTAAGTTTAAGTAATATTTTTTGAAAAATCAGACCAGAGCCTGTCTTTATCTTATTAGACATCTTGTTTGCACACTTTAAGATAGAGCCCTGTGAGTCGCCATTGGGCTGAGCTCTGATTGGCTGAATGAGGCTGGTACTCTATTTTTTACTGGAAAATAGATCTATAGATGGGACAGAGTGAGCTTGTTACATGGTTTATTCTTTTAATTATTTGTCTAGTTTGGCAGTTTGCTTTTCATACTATAGCAGGCGCATTCAACTCTGTCTTGAAGAGGCCGAAAGGCAGCAGGTTTTCATTCCAACCAAGCAGGAGCACACCAGACTCCACCCTGGAGACCTTAGCCTGAAGCCCTGACGGAATGGGTGGAGTCTGGTGTGCTTGGGTTGGAATGAAAACCTGAAGCCACTTGGCCCTTTGAGAATACCATAAGTTTCTCATGTGACCACCTTCAAATCTTTTAGTCCTAATGCCCTCTTTTCTCACTGCGTTTACAAAGATGAACAGGTTGGGGCTTGTGCGTCCTTGTATGAGTAACAGCATAAATATTGTCCATGGGAAAGTGTCTCACTGTGTGGCGCACTGTTAAGTCATTCACGTTTACTGGAATCTCAGCACTTCCAACAATTCATGTGTGTCTAAATTTTAGGCATCTGCTTTTGAACTAAAATGCTGGAGTCATCTATATTAATAAAACATACATGCTATTCAAAATATTTATCCACCAACTTTCTCTTACTCACACTATTTATATAAAATCACACTGATATTTACTAAAGAGACATAAAAAAATCCATCCATTTAAAACACATTTATAGTATAATTGGAAGAATCCTCTTGAAAATGCATAACCAGAAATTGTTGAACTAGTTACATTATTTTATCAGCTAAGTAAGGTTTCCAGGTTAAATGCATTTTACTAAGAGCTCTATTTCCAGTTGGTTTGAAAAAAAAAAAATCATTATAGTATTTCAGATATTTCAATTGCAATATTTCACTATAGACACAGTCAATAGTTCAACGTGAAGAAGTGAAAAAAACCCTCTAAAACTCATCTTCCCCTTGTTACAGGAGGGTCCTCCTCTCAGGCCTGAAACTCTCATGACAGAAGTGATCTGAAAATAGATTTTTCTGATTAACATTTAATGAGCTCAGATGCTCTGAATGGCTTTGAAAGTGACTCCTGCTGCAGATGTATGCTTCAGAGACTGATCGTGTTAAGATATGTACTCCATGTAAAAGAGGCAATGATATAATAGACCTATTTGTAATTATTTAATATTACTCTAAATCTATGCATCCAGAATAGTAAATAATGAATTGTATATAAAGCAATATTCTCTTTTCTATATGCTCTTACTATGGCCCAGTACGTGACATCTGCTGTATATACTGTAAGTGCATTCATAATCGTGTGTTTCACCTGAGCAGTGTGAATGATGGATTGCATGGATCACATATGAGTGAATATTGACAGGGCCTGACAGCAGCTGCTCTGACCTTGGCGTTGACAGCAGTGGTGGATGTTGTGAGTTTGTGTCAGACTGAACGTGATGCTGATGCTGAGCCGTGTGGAAGGGGCTCGGGGTAGAGATGCAGAAGTGACCCCTATGGTGCTACCTGTCAGTCACACCACCCACCAGAGGCCAAACAAAGTACAGTTTGTTCTGATGAGGAGGATGGAAGAATGAAACTCTCATATGTATGTCTATGTTAAGGGGACTGCATGCAATGTTCAAGGCAATTATCCAATCAGAGATTATCCTATCAGAGAGCAGAATGAATCCCTCATTTGTTTTGCCAGTTTCTTAATTGAAATGGAGCAGGTTGTACCACTTTTTGCTTGAATGTCATAGGTCTACTGTACCGTTTCTAGTTAAACCCCAGCAGATGGGGAATTTATAGTCGCTCATAATGCAAAAGATACATTAGAAAAATCAAAAAAAGGTATAGTTTTTTTGAATGTTATAATAATTCTGCAAAATATGTATTAGAGCTTATATCAAGTAGAAGTTTGTGACATACAATTGAAAAAAAGAAAAAGTAGAAAACGAGTCATCCTAGTTCCAAGAATCCTATTAAAAATTCTTCTAAAATTCAACATTAAAACATATTTGACAGTTCAAAAGTAAATATTTGTCCTATCACATAATTCTTCTGCAATTCAAATTAGATGCAGTCCCTTGTTTACCTTGTAGTTGCTGAAGTATCTCTACACCAACCTCATTACTGTGACTCAGGTCCAACCAGACATTTTTAAAAACACTTTTTCAAGCACATATTCCAAGTTAAATAAAACTATGTATAGGGTAATGAATCAAATCTTGAATTCCCCATGTTTGGGCCGACACTACATCAATAACATAATATCCCTTTTATGCAAACAGTGGTATGGTGCCACAATAGAGGCAGGAGTGCCAGTTTTTGTGGCAGCATTGTTCGCCCTTCACACTTCAATAAACTCCAGACGCTTCATGCTGAGTTATTTTAGAGAGACTGAAATAAAAAAGTCTTCCATTTCAGACCATGCAGAGGGATTCACAGCTACATTTCAGGAACGAACAGTATATATGTTTGGATGTTAAAAAGAGCAAAAAATAAGAAAACTAAAGCCATTGTTTTGTTAATCAGAGGCGTAATCTATTGTAATATGTTTATGGGATGGTTTACTGAACGAAGTGGGATTTCAACGTGTTACCATAATAAACTAAAGCTTTCATTAAGTGTCTCAAAACCCACACACATTGGTTGGAGAGTTTAAGAACAAATAGGCTTATTGAGATTACAACAGATGGGCTAAAACTGCAAGATGTCGAGTATTTGTCTCCACCAAAAAAAGAACGCACCAGAGATTTTACTCAATATGTTTATGTTTGCACAGC